AAAAAAAAAAAAAAAAAAAAAAAAAGGTGAAGAGGTGGAATACAGCAATGGTCTCAGTATGGCTAGCTCCTTTTTTCCAGTTATTCTCCATCCTGTCAGAATAGTCATCTTTCTTCCATTCGATGCTCATTATATAGTTTATTCCCCCAGGACACAGAAAACTTGGGAAGTAAAGGAACTATTCCACTGAAGAGAAGTGCACTGCCCACCCTGGTTGGAGGAAAGTACCTGAGAATTGCACCCATTTGAAAATATGAGAAGCAAATCAACTCAGGTCAGAAAGCAACTGTAAATCCMTGAATAAATACTGATATCAGCCATATTGTACAGATCCTAAAGAAAAAAGAATCTAAATGTTTTCCCTTGTGAAGACAAGTATTTTCTTGTCGGAAAGCTTTGTAAAATGCATGCTAAAATCTTTTCAACCCACCCTGCTCAGCAGCTGTTTCACCCTTAAACTTGCTCACAGAGCAGAGAAATAAAAAGCTAATACAAATCACTCGGCAGCATATTGAGAACCAGAGCTTCCTGCTTCGAAAAAAGCCCCCAGTCCTGCATGGCAAAGGGTCCAGAGCTTGAGGGCGCGTCTCTAAGACCCATTCCCATTCTCACTGCAGCCCAGGCCTTGAGAATAGAAGCTGTCTCAAGCCTAAAAGGCACCTGCCTTCCTCTGAACCACCCAGCCCATATCCTTGTCTTCCTGCCTTAATTCTTCATTTGTTTCTTTTCACTGCAAGTCTGTGCTCATTCTCTCTCACTCTCCTCCTCCTCCTCTGTTTCTTACCACCTGCACAGCCACCCACCCCCAAAGCAACTAGAAATGCTTTCGGTAAGAACAGCCAAGCACAAGTGACTCTCACCAGCACTCTCCACTACTGAGGTCTCTGCTGGCTTTCACATAACTCAAGGCAGCACCACAAGGATTGAGAGGACAGCCCATGCTTAATCAAGATTTCTTTATTTAAATTATCCACTCTTCAGCTTTTACATTCCTTGGTAAAAAAGCAAGGAACAGATCTTCAGTCTCCTTCTTGCTCCCTGCACCTCTATTTTCTTGCTCTTTCAAAGCTCCTTACTCCCTGGTCCCTTGGGCTTTGACAGTGTAGACACTCACAGCAGGATTTTTCCAGCAGTGCAGCTCAGCAGCTGCTGCACACAGTTGGTAAGATGCCCCTGCCAACATCTGATCTGTTCTTGTTCAATTTTGGAGGGAAACGTTTGAGTGGGCAAGAGGAAGAAAAAGGGAGAATAAGAAAAAAAAAATCTTACTATCTCTACTGTAATAGCATGTTAGGGGAAAGGCACCAAAAAAAGACTGTGGAAAGGAAGGAATCACACAGAATATACCAAACAACTTCAGAGTACAGCAGCCAGCTGTTGTCTGTAGTAAAAGTTTTAAATGAGGAAATACTGTCTGTATTAGTGTGTAATGTGTACGTTAAACCAAAACCTAATTTACACTATGTGTGCTTGTGAGATTCTTTAAACCAATGCTGCTGGCAAGCTTTAACTTACAGAATGTGCCTTGAGCGCTCAGTATTCAGAAAGAAAAATTCAATAATCTAAAATAAAAAACAAGTCCCTTTTCTGTCACAGCCAAATAATTCCTTGTACTGCTGGCTAAGTTTCAAGCTATTGGAATGTTGTTAGCTATTAAAACATAACAGTCTGCAGGTACTCATATAGGGGCAATTAAAAATAATTCCTAGATTCAAGAAACAAATGTTTCTACTGCAACAGGCATCAGTGTGATAGAAGATTTTAAGAGGAGGAACAGCAGGAAAATCCTTTTTCTTGAACCTCTGATGCCTCCCAGTTCTGGGCGAGTAAGGCCAGCTGCACAATTCATATTTGTCTTCCTCTATGCAAAACGGTGGCTTCCTATCGCACTCCACGAGGGCCTGCTCACAGGAGGAGGTGAGTGGGAAGGCAAAGCAGGCTCTCAAACACCACTTGAAATACAGAAGYCAAGTTTTGCCCATCCAGCTCCCTCAAGTCAATCAGAATCAGTCAAACCCCAGGAAGGTCATTTATTACTACCCAAAACTAGGGCCTACGGGGGCTTTTTAAGAACACTGCTCATCCTAAAGCCTCTATCTTTCAGCAGCTTTCGGGTAATACTCACGTTTCTCAGCAAAGGAAGAACCAACTGCTCAAAGGAAGCAACGTCTACGACATACTGTCCCACCCGACATTCACGTCTCGAAGCAGAAGAATCGGAACTGAATTTAAAAAGAAACAGTTCCCCCTAAGCAACACGAGTTCAGTGAGAATTTATGGCAGTCAGTTACAGTCGATTTACAAAAGCTCTTATCCTAATAAGTCAAATTCCTTTATTTCTTCTAATAAAGGAAAACCTGCAAACCATACCCAAAGTCATATGGCAAACAGTATACTTTCTAATGATAAATACACCATAAGCTACTTTTGTACTATGCAAGCTTAAATTTGAACACTGTACCAAAGGGTAATGGGATCTAAAGTCAGAGGTATATTTACATTGAAACCAAAACACAGGCTTGCAGTTCATGCAGATATAAGAGCAAACTTTAAGTTACAGACACTGAAAACAGCATCACTGCAGTAGCCTCAGCTCTCATTGAGATGCAAAATCTTCCAATAATCTTGGGAAATTTTTTGAAATTTCTTGAACAGTTTGCCCAGGCTGCATCACACTGTCCTACCAAACTCCCTCCACTGGCAGTATTTAAACTCGTTAGTCTGGTCAGCTCTGTCTGAATGAGGTGTAAAAGCTACACCTGACAAATCTAAGAAGTTTTGAAAGAGGCATGGAAAGCYAAGTCAACAGAATCAGGTGTGACTGTGAGCCCCTCTGCACTTCAGGCCTTTTAGCAGGGCTCTAAACCCCTCATTTGCTTAAAACTCACTTGTGAAATTTGTAGACCAGACACAGGTTCTTTAAAATATATGAAGTTTTCCTGGATTTTCAGCTTCTGCCCCTATATTAAAGCAATAGAAAGAGAGTTTTCCTCCCAGCATGTTTTTTAAAGAAACATTCCTCCCTACTACAAGCTACTAYTCACTGTGTCCTAAAGAAAGTTGGCTCTTTATCAGAGCCAAGAGCCTTTAGAGGAGCAAGGGCTCTGCAGCACATTCCATATCTCAGGTATGAAATGCACAGCAAGGGAGAACACCCCCTCACATACTTCCAGGGTTTCACTGTGCAAGAGTCTACACAGAGAGCACAAGTATCAACCCAGAGCAGGAGAACTGAACAAGGAACCTGACCGTGAAASCTTCAAGTGTGCTGGACATAACCTTATGGAGCAACAGCAAAGCACTCACAGCAATTAAAACACACATACCTGACTCGAGACAAAGGTCCTCGTTTTCCAGACAGAGTGACAACATCAAATCCTGTTCTCCTGCCACCTTCTCGCACTTCCTCTGTGTAAAATCCATCAATGGGAATCCCTGTGGATTTTAGGGCTTGAGTGGCTTTCTGGATCAACGTAGTCTTTCCAACCCCTAAAAATAAAGGGGAAGCAAAAAGCAAACAATATTAAACCTCTTTGATACTAAAAGTTCATTTTTAAATACTATGGCAATGACTTGACAAATACATGAATTACTTTTTGAGCCTGCAAAGTCTTTAAGTGGTAAGAAAGGAGACAAAAGCACCTTTTAAAATGCATTTTCTACTAACACACTAACACTTTACTAACTTTTAAGAAGTCTGCCTGCAGCAAAGTCACAACAGAATGGCATAAACACCACCAGGACAACAGGGAACTTGCTTACTTGGACAGTGCTGAGCCCTGGGCAGGCTATAAAGCTTGACCCCCCTCACACACCTCCAAGGTGAAAATAAGAATTATCCTCTCTTAAAGAGTCAAACTGTCACACAGCCAATATCTAGGCTAGCTGCAAGTTACTGACGGGCCTCCCTTTCTATCCCCACTCTTGATTACTGCTAAGAAAATGCAGCTGAATTCATTCCTTTTTAGATCATTAGGTCTATGCTGATTGAAATTACAATGGGGACTGGGTATGCGAACTATATGTATGGAAACTATAGTTCCATGGGCACTATGTATATTTAACTGCTACAGATGTCCTAAAAACAAAAGGACTCACTATCCTCAAGATACTAGGTCCTACATGGTTAAAAACAATAATTTTTTAAGAAATCCAACAGCAGGTTTCTGACATATGATAACTCAAACAAGAAAGGTTTTGACTAAATGTCTGGAAAACCTGATTCGGCACAAGAACAAGCGGCCTGGAGAAGTGGTGCAGGCTCCACACTTGGAGGTTTTCAAGACTAGAGTAGATGAAGCCCTGAGCAACCTGGCCTGACCTGACAGGAGGCCCTGCTTTAGACGTCCCGAAATCCCATCCCATGGGAACTGCCCCACGATCCTGCAATCCACTCTCCTACCCTAAGATCAACACTTAAAGTCCTTCCTATCTGATATCTCTTTGATATTTGTGTGGTATATCTCTTACTAGGTGAATACTGGCCATCTTCCAAACATCTTCCCTGTTCCCTTTACTTTGACAGTGTACAAGTACATCCCTTAACAATCTCCTTTTAGGCTCAACTTTAGCTCCCCTCACAAAATCCAACATTCAGTCCCGTCAAAAAAAAAAAAAAAAAAAAAAAAAAAAAAAAAAAAAAAAAAAAAAAAAAAAAAAAAAAAAAAAAGGCTTAAAAGGCTTTAGAAGGTAGAAAATATCCCGCAGAATACCGCTGTAAATTCCTGGAGACGAGGAGCACAGGCCAAATGCAAAGTGCCTAAAGAAGCTGACAGAAATCCTCCTGAAGTACATACCTCATTCCTCTCAGTTACAAACTGATTTACAAACTATTTCCTTAACAGTATCAACATTAACATCTTCTGCGGCTTCAAGGGCGTCTAGTCAAACCGCTAAGCAACTTTTTATAGTCGAGGCCGAAGGGACTCTTGGTGTTTGAGCCACAAGGAAGGACAAACGTGGCACCCTGACTACCCGCCGCCTTTCCCTGGCCTGGCCTCTGCAGCGGCGCCAACTGAGCTAGGCAGATTTCTCCATTTCAGTCACCTTCACTGCGCACATTGCCAAGATAAGGGATTCAAGCGAAGCTTAAGCAGGTTCAATGTTAAAATAGTTCAAAGTTAAAATAGTGCATTCAATTTCAGTTAAATGGACACAGATTAGGCCTAGTCTCTGATTATGCTGCAAAACCCAAACAAACAAACAAAAACCCCTATAGGTTCACAGTATGAATTTTAAGTGTGTTGCATCTTAAGCGAAGTGCAGACCCGGCAGGCCTGTTCTGCAGCAGGGTCCCCGAAGGAGCAGCAGGCCCACGGCTCGGCTCCCAGCGCTCCACAGGGAGCCTAGCGAGTAACTGGCGCATTTATTGACCCCATGCTCAGCGCCGGCCGCTCGGCCACCTCCCGGCCCCTGCCCGGGTCTTCGCCGCTAGTGGCCATCCCGCTGCACGCCCATTCCCGCGCAGGCTGGCAGCGCTAGATCACGAAGCGATCGAGCCCCGAAAAAAACTAACAGCGACGGCTGCTTAACGGAGGGGGAAGCTGTTCGCCCTGCGGGAATCCCTGCCGCGCCAAGATTGCGCCCCGCGGGCAGCGCCATTACCTGGCGGTCCCGTGAGGAAAACGTGCCTGGACATGGCGGCGGCCGCCGCTCCGCGCCCGCCAGCGCCGCCCTCGCTCCGCCCTGGCCCGGCCTGGCCCGGCCCCCCGGCCGCCCTCGCTGCTCCCCGCGGCTGCAGGAAGCGTCGGGCGCCTCGGGGAGTCCCGGAGCGCGGCCCTGGGAGCCCTCCGCGCTGCCCGAGCGGTGCCTAAAATGGAGGGTGCCCAGGCGGMGGGCCGCGGTTGGGAGCAGCCGCGGGGCCCGACCCGGAGCCCAGCTCGAAGTTAGGGCTGGTGGCAAAAGGAGGTCCGTCTGCCTTAAAAAATAAATAAAATAATACAAAACAAAGTGGTGGCATTGCATGGCATCATGGCTGCTGTGGCAAGCCAGGGAGCGCGGAGCCCTCAGTTTGGGTGGGAATAGCCCAAAATTGGGGTAGGGCTGACAGTGTTCGTCTCCGAGGGGCAGGATGGCCCGGTGTGCGAGGCTGGTGGGACACAAGAGTGTCACCTTGTCCATGCCGGGCGTCCTGAGCCCTGTGCTGGGGCTGCGTGGGGTTAAACTGCCCCCCCCCCCCCCGAGCTCCATCCCCAAGGACTGCCTTATTGAAGGCTTGGGATTAAGGGAGAAGGAAAAGAAAGGGGGAAAAAATAATTTCCTCAATGTGGGTCAGCTTTTTCTTTCTACTGACAGCTTGACCTATTTAATGGCTGAATATGTTACAGAAAGCTCTCCCCAGAGCTTCCAGGCAGCGCAGTAAACAACATGCGATGCAGGAGGGAGCAAGCCGCTCACGTGAGAGGCAGCCGCCTTGGCTGATTCCTCCCTGCAGAGAGCAAGCGAAGGAGGCAAAATGGGGGGTTCTTGCAGAGCTGAGTGAACTGGGTCACAAACGGAAACGTTGGGCAAGTTTAACAACAGCCTCTGACAGGCATCCCCCTCCGCATCCCAAACGCCGTGTGCATTTCGCCTCGTAGTTTGCTTAGTCTCAGGAGACGGAGATTTGTACGAGCCCAGGAATAAAGAAGGGGTTTTGTGCTGAGGACTGAGATGTGTTGGGGGAGGCCACGTCCTGCTGCTGCAATATCCCCTGCTTTCCGTGAGCACCAAAGTGGGCATCCAAAATGCTGAGCTATCAAAAGAATACGTCCTCGGCTTGTTGATACCGTTCACTAAATGCTTCTCCTTGAGCTCACTGCATCTTTTTCTCCTGCCCTTATTTTCAGTATGTTCTCACTGCTTAAGGTTTATTCATCATTTTCACAATGGTAACAAGAGTATCCTCTTTCAGCCCCAGGAAATGCATAGATCAGCAAGAAGAAAGTACATCACCGCAGACAGGTATTTCCATAAATGAGAAAAAATACTTTTGATGTGTACATCACACATGGCCACTCTTCCTTACATTGTTTTTGCACTTTTTAACAGGATGAGCAACCCTTTATTTAGTGATTCTGCATCTTTAAACAAGCAGTATTTTCTTTGAGGTCAGCTAGAAGTGGGGGCTGTGTACAACATTAGGTCATCTAAAAGTGTGAGGGATGCAATCAGCTATTTCACCGCATAATAAGAATACTTTGTGCTACCCCAGTTCTTGTTGCTGAGGAAAGCAAAAGTCTCTCCTAGGCTCCAGTTACAGAAAGGTCAGCACTTTTACTACGTGAGACTTAGCATCCCTACTTTTAGAAGGAGAAAACTGCAAGAAAGAGCTCGTAAGAGATAGGGTTAAAAATTAGGCGTTTGGTCCCTAAAGTAGCACACAGAGCCTGGACCTGATGCCTAGCATCCCAAGAGAGTATGGAGAGAAAGGAAGGTGCCCTGCAGAGGTGACAGAACCAGTACAACTTGCCCATAGGAAATGAAACATATAAGAAAGATGCTTAGAGAGCCTCCCTCACCCCTGGGTCTCATGGACTGATCTCAGGGTGGTTTCAGCTGGGCTTTACACACTGAAACCTTTTGCAGCTGTGCTATAATTACAGGCAAAGCACCTCATTATGTTTTGGGCTACCATTTAATCACTAGGAATCATGCAACTTTGAGGGGATTGAAATGTTTATTGTGCATCTGCCAGGAGAATACTCCTGTCACCAAATATATGTGGTACAGCCCCAAACTCAAGTTGATTGGGCCAGACAGAGCATGGTTGGGATGCTGATGCAGGAGAGGGAAGATCTAGTTTCTGTCCCTGTGGCAGCATTGTATAGGCACTGGATATATTAGGCAAGATCAATATACTTCTATGTGAAGTATGGGGCATGGTCAGAAGCAAATTTACAAGCAGAGCAGGATTGTCAGGATTAGAGTTTAGAGCATTTGTACCTCTGATTTTCCTAACTATTCTATTGGATCAGACCAGGCCAAAGTCCCTTTTGGAGGGGACAGCTTAACTTAGAAGTCTTGTTTGCCTATACTGTTGATTCCACTGATTATCAGATTTAAGTAATTTATCTTTCTCTTAAACAAAATGCCCTTATTTCTCATTCAATATGAGTGGCATTGAACATATTTAATTATCAAATACTTAATTAAAAAAGAGGTTGATAACTCTGACATGCATTGTGGTTTGGGGGGGAGAAAGGGATAGGGGGAAAAAGAGGGAACAGTTTCCTGTATCTTCCAAAAATGAAAGGTAGATTTTCAYAGTTTATCGTCAAGTACTTTGTGTTTTCTTTTCAGCAGTAATAAATAGTTGTAAAAAAAGAACCAGAGAACAGAACTGCATGTTTACTAGACTATTAACACAAGAACAACACTTTGGAACTGGCTGCCTCAGCCTTGCCCTGAACTTCCTGCGCAGCACTTACAGTGATTGATTTTACAGGTAAGTTTTTTGGTATAATATTAAACTATTTCAGACTACTGGCTGGTTGCCCAGGCAGGCCACATAAAGAGACCCTGACAATGTTGTTTTATACAACATACAGTTTTACTAGGTTTTATAAATCAATTTTTCATTTTCAGAACAGCCTCTGGGGAGTTTTAGGGCTATCACTAGTGTTTGACAGAACCCCTGATTTCTTGTGTGATGCTCTCAGAGCCATTTCATCCTGTCTTCAGATACACTTGACAGCAATTTCACTGTGTGGCTAAGGCCTTAGTCATGCAAACAAAGTGTAAGTAAAGCAGTAGCAACAGCAGGGCGTAAATTAAGTCAGCATTACACATAGATTTCCATTGTAATTAGTACCATAAAATGTTTTGTCTATCTAGGTGCTCTGTCTAGCTCAGTCATACATATGTGCCAAAATAAAAAGAAGCAGTTACACTTGTTTTGCCTTTGCAGAGTTTTGCTATTGAAGGGACCATATGTGCTAAAACAAATTGAAATTCTCTATATATTCCACAAAGATTTAAATTTGCTGCCTTTGCTCTAAAGATTATTCCCTGAAATTTTTATTCTATAATACAGTGACTCAAAAGTAGTTCAAGAAGTGTGAGCCATAATCCAAGTTGTCTTCTGTGCTGTAATCACTATGCAGCCTGCTTGCTCTCCTGATTAGGGKTTTTTTGCATTCTTGCCTAGAGATGAGCTGGACTAGCAGAAACACCACATACTGTCAACATACCTAGGCTGTTTTTGGACTGTGCCAGTCTCTCCACTTAGGTGAGGGTCAGTTAAATTCAACTCATGTTGAATTCAAAAGGCCATGACAGAAATCTGGTGTCTGGAAAAGGACTCTGAAGTACAAATGGTGAGTTGCGAATCTCAGTTCTGAGTGACCTGTAGCAACCTTGGAAAGAGCTGCCAATCGCTGTTATAAACCCTACCTGCAGAAGCTTCCATTTGTTGCTGGATGTTCACTGGAAAAAAAAAAAAAAAAAAAAAAAAAAACCTTGGATGGAGTCCTAAACCTTCATGTTGAATGGCGGGAAATTAATTAACTGCAAGTTTCCAGATCAGTGGTGAAGAAAAGAGGTCATTTATGATATTTATGGTATTTCCTAGAGGAGGAGCTGGAAGGAACGAGGGAATAATCTAACATCTCTGACCTGCACCCTCAATTAGGCAGTGATTTACATTGCAGCACTCTGCTTCAAGGAAGGCATCGCACGGTGTCACAGGCCTGGCCCTTAGTTTTTTAAGTCTCAGGTTTCCTTTGGCATGGAAGAGAGAAAGGTTTCTTTTCTCTCCAGCTGAGGGATTTTTTTTTTAATCCATGATATTCTGAGTTTCTACAACGCTCCGCTTGTGTCAGGATAGAGAAGCACACTTTTCTTCTTGAGGGATTTAATTTTAGAGAGTTCCAAGTATCTTTTATTTTGTCATTGTTCTCACTTGCAAAGAACACTCTTTGTTCTCGTAAATAGTGCATTTAGCTATATGTCCCTTGGCATCCAATAATATGGTATCCTTCTGAAGGATGAAGGATGGTATCCTTCAGATCCTTCAGATTGATTCTGTTTTCCCAAGGAGTAATCATTGAGTCAGCAGGTACCTGGGAGTAAGCACTCAGTGTCTACAGCTTGTCCATCCTTAATCTGAAACTTCCCAGAGAGACTGGCCATCAGGTACATGCGGCATCTCCTCTAGACAAAAMCAGTAGTACCCTCAGTATCCATGATTTGTATAAAAGTTACCTGTAGATCTTTTACTTGTGGTTCATGGAGCAGGAATCCTTTGTGTTCTACCAGAAATCCACCATTTGTGTTCCACAGAACAGAAGAAATTCCTGAAAATATTTCCTGAAASTTGAGACAGAAAAAATAAATTATGTCAGTTATTATAAACACTTTTATATGAAAGTGAGAATATATTTATKAAATTGGATTTATGTGTGTAAGGAAACCCCCCAAGAGCTTAATTCTGTGTCTGTACGAGCATCTACCACAAATGTTTCTSTATCAGCCCATCTGGTTATGCACGCTAACACTCACTTTCAAAAAATAAAATAAAAAGGCAGTATATCCCTAGAGGAACAATTGCTCCCAGTATAAAGGCTTAAGACCTTCAGAGAAATGTGTACTGCAAGGCAAGATAATCAGGAGGAAAGCAATAAAATCAGTTCAGTGCCCCTTAGATTAGCAATTGGACAGGATTTCTAAGGTGAAAAGCAGGTGACGAAGGGGATGATATGGGACAGGTCAGGAGTATAAAGCTATATGTTTCTGCATCCCACTGATTTTGTTGCAGCTTGCCTAAGGCTACCGGGTGCATCTATATGTCTCATTAAATGACATAGTTCTCCTCACTAGTGGGACAAAAAAAAAAAAAAAAAAAAAAAAAAAAAAAAAAAGACCATTTAAAGATGTTTCCTTCACCTGACTTCAAGATACAATGTCCTCCTGTAATTTGGAATAGGATCCATTGATTTAAAGTCACCTCAGTGTTAGTGGTGAGATTGAGAGGAATTCATCTTACATGACAGCAGTAAGTATTGTTCCAAAGAGTCAGACTGAGAGAGGAGAAAAGGAGCAAGGAGTTGACACAAAATAGCTGATTTGCTACTAAAGCATAAATTGCACAACAGTTTTTCCAGATTGGATCAGTAACAAATTTAGGTCTTACCTAGCAAAAGAAAAGCCTTGTCAGGGATAACAGGTTGTGGTAAATTGTCCCCTTATGGAGTTTGCTTGCCCTCTACATTCACAAAAAGCTACAAAGTTTCTTGGGCAGAAGGTCTTGTGCATCTCTTATTTGTAGAAACAAAACCCTATTTTCCTGCATTGCGAAGAATATCATGTACAGATGATATTATTTATTTCGTCCTGAGAGAAGAGATATGTTAGCAGGTGAGCTAGTATGGTCTTAATAGTTTAATTTCTTAATTTGCCAATCCCAGGCAAACCTCTCTCAGTAACTTCTCTCAGATCTAGCAGTCTCCTTACAGAAAGCCTTTTGTCAGGGGGCAGCAGGCGCGGGGCTGCTCTGTGAGAGGAGAGGAACCAGGAGCTGAGGGTGACGCTGGCCAGGACGGCGCTCTCCGTCACCACAGGACCAGCTCTCTCTCTCGGATCACTGGGTGCTGGTAACAGTGGGGCCATGCAGMGTCCCAGGCAAGGGGAGCTGGTGAAGTAGGTCCAGGGGCCATCCAGGGAGTCCAGCCTGGAGCAACAGAGACAGCAGTGGTGACAAAGCTAGAGCTTATCTCTAGTGGGTTCACTTAGAAGCCAGGGCTGGAGACAGAGCTACTGTACAGGTCCAAAGCCCATGTGGGTGCAGGACCAGAGACGGGACTGGAAACAGCAAGACCTTCAATGTAGTCTGGGCAAGGAACCTGAAATAGTCTGGGCTGACCTGAAATGGGGCCCGTGGCAGGGCTGTGTGGGGAGGCCCCAGYGGAGGCTCCTCGGGGCCTGTCAGGCTTTTAGATTGCTTGGCCCTGTGTCACACAGTTGTAGTTCTTGCTCTTTGATTAAAGCTGAGCATGTTTTCCCATGGATTTTAGCTTTGGTCCTAGGGAAGCGAAACCCTTGTGATCATGCTGCATGCGTYGGTCTGTATTTCGCTCCACCTCTTACAACTTTTGAACCTCCTGAGCAATTGCAGCCAATCTGGCAGAGAGGAAAGGGTGACAAATCTTGTAAGTTACTATTCTTTTCTCAAACCTGCATGTCTGGATAGAAAAGAAAGACTCCTCTCACTGAAGGGAAATATGCTGCATAAACAGAATCCTTATCAAACAAGAGAGAAACAACAGAGCACAACCCAGAACATAAAGCCTTAGGAACCAGATTCTATTGTTTCCATTCTCTGTTAAGCAGCTTGCATGTTTGCTCCTTTCAGTGATCTCCCAGCTCTTCAAAAACAAAACAGTCACCTTGAAACTGCTTGCCATTTTGCATGAGATCCTTATTTCTTTAGTGGAGATAGCAAGAAGTAGTCATTCTGCAAAAGAATGCATCTTGGTTTGTTAAGTGATTTTTAAAACATTTTTCCAATGCTGATCTATCTTTTTTTTTTTTTTCATTCAGATACTTGCCTGCAAATTTCAGATGGATTCTGCTGAATGCTAGATGTCAAAGATGTCAATGGGACAGCCTGTAAGTAAGGACAAAGCTTATAGCAACAGAGTGCCCATTAGATTGTATTCCTGGATTTTTCAATTGCTGTTTTTGAAGGTTTGTTTGTGGTTTTTTTTGGTCAAGAAAATGTCATTCTTGTGATTGCTGGTTTTCATTCCAACATTCATTTGGAATTCAGTTAATTATATTAGAGCATTTGGACTGTATATATATACAAGCATTTGCTCATGTTATTTTATTTACTTTGTTTCCGTGTTTCTCAAGAGCTTCAGTAATATTCCTCGTTTAGTAAGCACCACTAGCATGTGAATGATCAGCTCTCACAAAAGTCTAGCTGTTCATCATAATGCTAATTTTAATTCCTCCATAGAAGGAGGAGTTTTTCCTCCTTCTCCACACTTTGTCTACCTGGATAAGCACACTTCGAAACACTGTAGTGGAAGCTACCAGCTCAATACCCATGTTCCAGCTCTCATATTGTTTAAAGAGGAAGGGAAGGTAATTAGTCAACTGCATCAGCATAAATAATCAAAAATAATGCAGTCTACAAAGAAAGTCTTTGAGGAACAGTTCACAATAGATGAAGATCAGCTTTTCATGGCTATGTAATGTYTTTGCAAAATCATTTTGTGTTATCAGCATGTACACTGACTGTTACCCAGATTTTATAATCTACAATTGATCTATCATTGAAGGGGGGTGATTGCATATGTGACCAAGCTGTGATGGTCTCCMGTAGAAGGTTTTCAGTAGAAAAAGGAAAGGCTCTGTTTGCTGCATCACACATCAATTAAAATGATGCTATCARTTAATCATGCTTAATCAATTAATCAGTTAATCATGCTCAGTTTACATAGGCAGGAACATACGTATTTCTCCTTTGAATGACAGCTGGCAGAGTGGTTGATACCTGCCTCTCTGCTTCTCTTGTGTCTTCTCCCTCACCCTGGTTATCAGGTTAAAAGAGATCCTGTACCTTTGCTCTTTCCATAACGATGACACCTTTTCCAAAGAATATKCTTTTTCTACCAAGAAAAGAACAAAGGATCCAAATTCTCCCTGCTAAATAGATTCCTCTTAGTGCCACCCGTGGTTTTGCCAAGCCACACTGAGCAAGGCACAGAGAGTAAACAAACAGGCTGTCTAGTGCTAAAATCTATATAAACTGTGGCAAGACTGTCCATCATTTCTTCACTAATATAAAAAACAAAAGCCTCTTTTGGCATTAGCAGTTAATGGCACTGAAGTTGCTGACTAGCCAGTTCAGCTCAATATCACTGGGAAAACAGTAACGTGAGCAGTAAGATGGATGAAAGTTATTTTTTAAATGATAAAAACATTTTCATAGTTACGATTTGTTTTAGTTACTGTTTTTATCATGTGTTTTCTAGCTTAGGTGCATTTGTCATGGTACTGGTAATGCAGTTATGTTTAATTTCTGCTATAAACCCTTGTAGAGGGCTGTGTGTAATTCTGTTTCTGTCGTTACAAATTCTGATTCATTGGTTTAGATTATTGTTCTGAAGTCTTAGTTGCCAGGAATAGTGGTTTGCCTCCTTGCCAGGAACAGAAGATTTGTTTTCTTCCCAGAAGAAAAGCTGTTATTCGCTTGTTCATAATATGTGCTTTTTTTTTCTCGACTGACTGATATTTGGATTCACTTGTAGTTTAGGTGTTTTTCAAGTAAAATTCTTCATGAGTGAAGGATCCATCCTTCTTCTTCTGAAGGGACGGGATTAACATCAAGTGGTGTTAATATGGGTAGGAATATCCTACCAAAATGGGTAGAAATATCATACCAAAGGCATATATTTAGCATTTAAGATGTAATAAAGGATGAATCCCTACTCTATGACCTTGTATCAGAGACTGTCCGTCCTCCACCAGGCACCTGGTTTGCATTCAGCTTTGCTGCTGTTGGTTGTTACGTGAGCCCAAGGAAGAGCAAATACAGKGGCCTCTCCTAGGAGTGGTGGAAGGCGACTTCCTTCCACTTCCATTTGAGATATTTATTTTTGCATTATGGAACCTCCCCATTCAGCATTAGTCCTATTCCTTAAAAACAAAAAAAAATGGAAGTTAAGTATAACTGTGGGAAAGTACATCTTGGAAGGTAATGTTAAAGGTGTTAATGGAGGCAGGACTAGGTTGGGGCGTTTTACCTCCCCGCTCCATCAGCCTGCAGTGAGGGCTGGCTGCTCTGGGAGAGGAGGAGGAGGAGCAGATGGGACCTTGCCAACAAGCAGCCAGGATACAGAGCAGCAAGTCCAGGTCAGGGACAGTCATCAAGGTCAGACACGGCCCCGGGGTCCCCGGCAAGTGGCCCCAGGTCCAAGGTGGGACCGCGGGTCCATCTCAGACTCGGAGGGGATGGAGGTAGGGGACAGGCTGCAGCTGCAGCACAGGCAGGGGCCAGGGCTGAGTCCTCAGCTTCCAAGCAGCTCCTGTGGGAGAGGCCTTTGGTCCCAGCTTCACACCAGCCKTTGTGAGCAGCGCAGCTGACCTGGGAGGCGATCAGTGAGACTCCTGAGCCAGCTGAACTCATGGACAGGGACGCGCTCCAGGCCTTGGCATCTTCTGCCATGGAGCTGGTTGTCCTCGAGCAGAATGAGATGTGTAGTTGCTGCTTCAAGGCCACGGCGGCTCTGCAGGCACCACCAGCTTTCCCKGTCCCTGCCTGTGCCACCGCTCGGTGCCGGCTCCAGCCCTGCCACAGTCCTGCCCAGCCCCACGGTGGCACCTGACCCCTCCTGGGGCTGCCCCAGGAAGGACAACAGGGTGAAGCCTGAAACTAATGGAACTGAAGAGGGTAGTCAGACCTGGTTAAGAAGTGTCCTCTCTTTAAAATATGTGTCTGTGGTTTTTTCATTAGAATCCTTTATATATATATATATATATATTGGATGCCACTTAAAAATCAGTATTTTCCAGATATGGTGTCTAACACGTCAACTTCAAGTGTCAGAAACAGCCATTGCAGGTTCATCTGGCTGGTTGCTCATGATTTTGAGGGCAGCCCTTATAAGCACACTTCAAAGGAACCTGCTGGAGGGCCAGAAGATCCACTGGAGATTCAAATGTAAAATTGCAGTGACTAATATCATGATACATTTTAAAAACTGGGATCCATTTTGGATCCTAGTATTCTGACCAGACCATGGCTTTGATTATTTATGTTCTGTTTATTTCAAATTTCCTACTATGTTTCTTGTCTGCCTGTTAGAGCACTTGACACTGCCTGTCCTAAYTCATTTCGGGTGTGATGTATAACTCACACAGCACAACATTTCCATCCAGAGGCAGCAATTCACTGTGGAAGTTGGCAGGAGGGAGGACAGTTATTTCCAAGGTATGTGTATGGGCCGTAAATGAATCCTTCAGGATGAAAGATGCTCTGTACGTGCAGGATCATTATCAGCATTGCTACAAAAGCCTGGATGCTGCTTGGAGAGCCTCAGACTGTTCTCATGACACTCTTTCCTTACTGGTAGTGCTAGTTCTTCAGTGATTTTCCTGCTCTTCTTTAATCTTAATGGTTTGGATTTTTATTTAATGAGAGTMATTTCAAAATCCTCACTTCCTTAACCGACATTAGTCAACACAAGCAGGTCTCAAAGCCTCCCCAGGAGGTGCCATTAGCTACAAAAAAGTCTGCATCACGCAAAGACACTTGCAGAAAATTACCAATATTTGAAGTGTTCCACCTATTAAATTGGGTAAATCATTCCCCAAGGGAGGAATAACTATTTAGCCAACATGCCTAGTGAACAGTGGTACAAAATGTCCTCGGAGAAGGCCTGTCACTGATGCCTCAAATTATGATGATCAATAGGAAACTAAGTTCTGGCTTATAGCTCAGCTGTATTAGAAGTGTGAGTATTGCACAGACACAAGCACATATATATATATATATATATATGTCTTGCATGTTATTCTCTTACTAACTTTTTATGTTCTCCATAGGCTTGTTTGCCTCCTTGAGCATCTTTGTTATTTGCTGAGTTTTGGCTGTAGGGCCTGTGCTTCCTATCCAGAAGCTAGAAACTCCTTCCTCCCCGGTGGCTGGAATCAGAGGACAAGATGGGCCTCACCTCAGACCTGTTGCCTGCCTCAGGGGCTGGAAGCTTGGGAGCTGGCACTTCCCTGCYATCGCAGCGGCAGCCCTGCTGTTGTCCTTGCCAAAGCCTGGCCGGCATCCTCCAAGCAAGCCGATATCCTTGCTGCCCCGGGAGGGAATCCTCACGCCACAAGGATGCTGTCTTCCCCCTCCCACCTGCCTTGGCTCAGGTGTGATAGTTTCAGTAAAATATGTTTTGCTGATCTCAATAAATAAAGCAGTCTTTGGGTCAGTTTATGTGCTGGGTCATCCACAATTTTGGTTTCCACTGTTTTTCATCCAAAATTTTCTCCAGAGTCTAGCTGRGGGTGATACTTGTGGATTCTTTGGGCTTAACAGTGCATGTCTTTTTTGCTGTTCTTTCCAATGTTATTCATTGTACAGTCCTTTGTACTTTACAGTTCTTTTCTTTGAAGTCTTTTATGTGGTTTATACAGTTTAATGTAATTGCTGTGTGCTTTTTCTGGTGGAACAGATAGAAAGTTGATACTCCTGTTTTACAGATAGTTACAGAAAAGCACAGTCACACAGATGTCAATTGGCTTTTAGTCGTGTGCTTTTAACAGTAGGTCTAAAGTTACTGTCTATATAAAGGTTAGCAAAAAGATGTCATGTTTATCTTGGCTGTTGCTTTCATCCTGGGTAGTCCRATTCAGATGGCAAAGTTTAGGGTCTTGGTGGTGGTTTGCTGTAATTAGCATGGCTCATGATTTTTCTAGGTAGCTAAATAGTTCTTAAGTAGGCTCTGGCTATACTGCTTTTCCACATGTGAAGAAGTGGTTGCATGCCCAAAACCTCACTCAGTTTTTCCAACAAGATATCCATGACCTCACAGAAGGTGTTGTATCTACCTGCAAACATTGCTTTCTCTATAGTTGTAGAATTGTTTTCCTTTACTTATTCTGTGTTCCTTGAATACTGAGCAGGGAGCTCCAAACTGACCCATAAGGTTGTTATTAAATGCACAGCAATGAAGGACCCTTAGGAGTTCAAGTCTTGCAAGTGGATTTTAGTTCTGTTGAGGAGACAAGGTAGAGTGGTGGTTGTGTTGAGAAAGAGAACGTGCTTCCCTTTATCCAGCCTGGTCTTCAATTCAAGTAATCGGGGACCTTTCACAACTGGTAAAATCAAGAGGAGAGGAGGGAAGAAAGGCAAGTAGCCTTCTTGTTCCTGCAGGCTGTAGGATGGTGATGGATGAATCCATCCATCCATATCAGGGATTTAAAATTCAGTCCAAACAAATATCCAYCATGTCAGATTGCTATGAAATATATGTTTAAACCTCTCAGATCTGAGGAAATATCTTACACAGGTTTATTAACCCTTGCTGTCAAACTGAAACAGTATGTGAACTGCTTTGTTAATCGTTTTCCACCATTTTTTTTCTGCCAGAAAAGAATCAGGAAGTTAACAAACTAGCTGAACTTTGGGAGTTTTCTTCAACACGTTGGGCTGATTTTTATTTTATAGAGCTAGAATTGGAGAAGGTAGAGACTTGTTTAAGTTATTTTGTCCTTTCCCACTAGATATATTAGCTAATGTGAAAATCCAGAATTCAAATACCTAACCGTGAATGTCTGTGCATGTGTTCAGGTGCTTCTTTTACATGCTATTCATACACAAGCCTATATTATAAATGTATACTGACAACACAGGCATTTCCCATAGACTTATTTTCACTCGTGAGTAAAGATCAGCTGTGTGTGTGATATTACCATCATTTCGAAGCTATGTGCAGCACACAAATTGGTTCCTCTTCTGTCAGTGTGCCATTGTGATCAACTCCCATTGTAGAACAACATCCCATTTGTTAATTTAACTAGTTCCATTTAGCTCCGAGTCCTCCTTAGAAGGCAGCTTAAACAATAACCACATTACAGAACTATACACAAAAATAGCATCTGCTGCACTGTGTTGGCAAACATGAGCACCAATGAGTGGTCTTCAGTATCTAGACAACTGTCTGTTTGAAGTGTAAAAAAAAACTTCTTTGAAAGTTTAAGTGAATTTGTAAGTTAATTTAGCTCTTATTTGCAGTGTGTGGTTCAAATTGCTTTGTTATGATGATGCATGACAGAAATGATAGCAGATATAAAGGTTTTTGTTCCCTTTCTGAAGTCTGACTTGAATGTGACATCTCTGTTGGCTTGTGGAATATATAAAGACAATTTGATTTGATGAACATTATCGTGTCAGTGGAAGGAAACCTTCATAATTTGCACAATATAATCATCCACCTAAGAGAATTACAGTTTAAAGTTCTGGAGGGTTTTCTTGCAGTGAAAAATGAATATTTAAGGTAAAAAAAAAAAAAAACAAAGAAGGCAGATATACAATCAGATGAAATAAAATAGGAATAACTTCAGTGTTCTCCACTGCGTTCATGATGTTCTTAATAAAGCTCAGCCTGCAGACCCAGCACCCCACTTGCTAATATTAACAGGAAGGTGCTCCTCAAACAACAAGCAAAGAGCATGCAGGGCCCCCGGGCCTGTCTGTAGGTCACTCCTCCGTTCATCTCTCCTGCATCATCCAAACATGGATCTCCACATTTTGCCTCTTGCCCTTCGGGGTGCAGAACGGGGACCGCTCTTGCCCACGCTGTGGCTCTCGCACAGCAGGGCACTGGAGCCCTGTCTCAGGACATCCTGGAAGAATCTCCCTCGTTTAAGAGGCAGGCAGTTCAGTTTCTCCTAGCTTCTGAGATAAGTTCATTTAAACCTCATTTTTAGTTATCCAGAAAGGTCTACTTACTAGTGAAGAGTTTTACTCTTTTTTTAGCTAAGCCATTCCATGTACAAAGTGTCTGGTCTGCAGGTCAGGATTCAGCCAGGAGTGTGATTATGTAAATTCAGGAAAATAATCCAGAAGTTTTTAACCTTGTGACAATGTCTTTTGCCTCTATCATAGCTGCATGTTTACTTTTATGCAGATRTGTATATCAAAGAATACATTTTTGRCCACATTTTGTTATAAAGGTGACATTAATAATTGASTAATCTCAGCATGATCTAAGTCCTTCTGCCCTTATTCGTTCTCCACAGCAAACAGCACTTAAACTGAATTGATTTTTGGAGAATGAATCGGCAAACTACATGTTGTGTCTTGTCTTTATCATACCGAGAAAATTAGTGTTCTGGTGCGTCAGTAATTCATGATGATGTATAGGTTGGATTGAAGTCAGCACAGATCATGGAGAATAAGAGCAGTGAACAGTGTTGATAATTTAATTCAGATTTCTGGATATAGAGAAGAATCAAAGAGTAAACTCAAGGGTTACTCAGGCTTTTCCTGTTTTGTCTGGATAAYCCCAAACTCTTGCACACACTTAAACAATTCAGGAGGCTGAAAATGCTGCCCAAGCTCAATGCAGTTACTGTAAGCAGGCTTTCTTCCCCTCCACCTTGAAAACTTACTGGACTGCTCTGGAGCTCTTACTGGAAAGCACAGCATTTAGCTCTGCAGCTGCAGTTTCAGACAGATACATTTTACTGCTCTATTTATTGACTTCTTGTCATAAATGTTCTTCAGTAGCATGCTGAACCTAGACACATGCAATAAAGCCCAAGGGAAGAAGTTTTTTTTTCCAAATGGTTTTCCATCTCCATAAAGTAGCTTTTCCTAAACTATTTAACAGTTCAACAGTATTTTTTTTTTTTTCACATCTTCTCCGGCAAGAATGATGCACTGATTATCTCGTAGAAGCCACTGAACTGATTTCTTAATCCTTTCAGACTTTTTGTTCCCTTGCTTCTCTCCTCCATCTCTCCTCCACCAGCTGGAGAAAGACGAAGAAGAGGAGAACAAGCTGACAGAACTTCCTTTGCTTAGAAGTGAGCAAAGCCAGGACTTACCACTTATTTTGCAATAGCGCACTGGGTGCATGTGGAATCCTGGAGGGATTCCAGCATGTAAATGTTGGTGTCTTTTAAACTGTGAGAGGACTGCAAACCGGCAAAGCTTCCTGTTACGGAAAATCAGTACTGGAATTCTSTGTGCATCATGGGTTGCAGTCTGGAAAGAAGAACTGGTAACAAGAGATACTCAAAGAAATGGCAGAGGGACAATAAATTCTACATGCCTGGTTATCTTTTTCTATCATATGAAACACCAGAATTTACCAGACCAACTTTGACTTTCTGTGGAATTGTTTACCAAAGAGATCCACTAAATGTAGATTATTAAAAGCAAAAAAAAAAAAAAAAAAAAAGAAGAAAAAGAAAAAGCAACAATGTTCTTATGCACTCGTGTGATTTTGTTAAGTGTCTGATTATAGCGATAGTGATTTCACTATACTGTCCATAATGAAGATTGCAGTCATTTTCTCCCTTTATTTTTTTTTTCTAAATATCTTTTGTTCCTAAAAAAATCCAAAACTCTTTAAAATTCAAATCGTCTCTGCATTTAGGGTACTTATTGAAGCCTAGAGTCACCAACAGGGCTTTGGGTAATATCCTCAGTCCAAGGAAGACGTGTGTAGCTATAGTTGTTTCTTTAAATAAACCCCAAATCTCAAAGAAGAGCTGGGTGTGTGGAAGAAGAGCCTGCTGTACTGCATTTCATATTCTAGGAGACTCCTATTCTAGGAGAACTGTGGCATGTGTCTCATCAGTAGGAAAATTGGTTTCCTGGGAGCTGCTGACTGTTTTCTGTAAAGAAAATATACAAGTCTGCTTATAGTGTTTTGAAGCTAAGAAAATACTCCTGCCTTGCCTACAGCCTGTAGCATGAAGAAAAGACAAGGCCATTGCGTGGAAGTCTGCAGGTAATAACAACCAATGGAACCACCAGAAGTGGCCAAGGTAGATGATTTAAGCAGAGCAGCCTGTGCTGCATCACGAACTCCACACATGAAAACCGTCCGCAGGACGGACTGTGTGTTTTGGAAGGAGGAAAAGCAAAGGTAGATGCCACTTACTGGATGCTATTCCCTGAGAGAGAAAGCTTCGGAAGGGCCGAAGGGATGGGATAGTGGGTCATTGCTTGGACATGAGCTCCTGGCTTTTCCCAGCGCAGT